CCACTCCTGCTCTGTCCCTGCATCCCGCCCTCCTTCCCGCTCCCAGCCCTCCTCCAGCTGCCAGCTCCAGCTCCCCGAGCACCCCTGAGAAGCAGGGGACACAAACCCTGCCAACAGCCAGCTCCAGTGGGAACAGCAGCAGCATCCGCAGGGAGCAGCGGCAAAAATATGCCGCATGGGCTTGTTTGGGATTTCGAGTGGGGGTGAAGCGCGCCAGGTGCGAAGACCAGGAGCCTGAGGCGTTGCACCAAAAGCCCGTGGAGGCAGAGGGGCCTAAGGAAGAGGATGAAAGTGACACTGTGAGTGCGAGGGAGGAGGAGAAAGACATCAGAAATGAAGAAACTACTAAGCTGGAAAAATCCTCTGATTTGGATACAGGTGAAGATATTAATACGCTGCTTTTCCTAAATATTATATGGGTAACCCTGGTGAAAAGGCACTAGTAAAACCAGGGACTGGAAACACTAATGGTCTGTTTTTCACTTGCTGTATATTAAGTGCCTTGCCATTATCCCTGCTTCATACTCATGAAGACTCAATTGATTTTTTTCTCCTCCCGTTGTATTAATTGTAAGTGTTAGTTTAAAAAAAAAAAAGCACAAGAACAAACAGAAGCTGGACTGGTTCTGCTCGAACTTTAGCTAAAATTAGGTTCATTTTTAAGAATTCTGACTCTGTAGTACAAAAATCATTAGAACAAGAAATCTTAAATGGATTGCTGTTGGGCAGAAATGATTACAGGGAAGAGCTAGATACTAGAAAAACACAAGGAGTGGCTTTTTTTGTTTGCTTCATTTCCAGTGAACTGACAGTTCACTGAAACTTACTCCACTTTTTCCAACAGCAAGTTTTAAAGTCTGAGTGCTGAAGATAAAAACCTGTCACACATGTATTGCTTACTAGTTTACTGAAACAGGTACATCAGACATAAACGAATTTCATGGTGTATCACAAGGTTCGTCAAACTCTGCCTTTTTGTGGAAAGTCTAAAACTTACATAAAACAGGCATGTTTATATATTAGAGTTTTGGTTTGAACTGTGCTGTAAGCTCCTCCATCCTAGCTGCAGAACTTAACGACTTCAAAAGATGTAGAAATGGTGTACACTTAAAATGGCTTTGAAAATCTAAACAAACACACTGAATGCCCTGCCACCCCCCTCCTCTCCCCAGAGAGGTAGGGCAGAATGCAGTTCCTTTTGTTAAATCTGTTTACTTTCTAATTTCAGAGGTTCGACTGGCAAATTAGAAGTCAGGTTGAGCCCTTTCCTGTCACAGCCCGGGGGCATCTTTTGGGTATGCAGGGTGCCCCTTTGAAGTGGTGTTGTGGTCTTTTCACATTTAACCTTGAACATACTACACAGTGCCAGCATGGCTTGGGATTGCTTTGGAAATATTCATGCTTGATTTTATAAACCTCTGAGCATCTTTCTCCAGAAACCAGTAATGAAATTCTGAACAGCTAGGGAAGGAAAAACCTGTTCCATGTTTCCAGTTTGTGCTTGTGCTGAAGCTTTCAAATGGGCCGAGCCATCTCAACAAACGCACTTGAATATCTGGAAATTAATTGCTCACAGCAAAACTGTTGACATAAGTTGTGTTGTTATATACTGTGACTATGAATGTTACTGTTTCTCTCAAATTTTGTTCCCACTTTTACACTTCTTCTTATACTCCTGCCATGCCAGGTAATAATTTTAATATTAAAACCAAAAGAACTGAGTAGCACATCACACGGGAGCTCTTTTCTGTCCCCATGACTTAAAGCTCAAATAACTTAGAGATTGGCAAGAATGGCTGAGCTTTAGCAAAATACTGTGTTTAAACAGTGGCAATGTAAGGTAATAATGAATATAAAGGATTTTATGTTTTTTAAGCTTACCACAAAACCCCAAATGAAAAGCAGAGAGAGATTACCAAGATACTGAGTGTTCCTTCCTGTTCCAGCTAACTTTTCCTTATGGTGGCTATTTTTCACATTTCTCAAAAAGATGGGGCTCTTGAAATCTCCTTTAAAAAGAGAGATTAGCAATTAAGTATACTGAGCTTTCATAATGCCACTTAAGACGGCAAAAGAGCAATTTATAAGTGCAAATAACTTTCAAACCCAGTATTGCCACATTAATGAGGAGCGAGTCTTTGTTGCAGGTTATTGAAGCCTGAGTGCCAGAAACCCGTACACGATGCTATTGACTTTCCTGCTTAGAGGAGTGCTGAAATCAAATCTGACTTTGGATATCTGTGATTGGCAGGGAAGGAGGGACAAAAACATGGCATGAAAAGAACTTCAGCTTTCTACGCTATTTCTTGCTGGAACCTGGATGTTTATATATGTGTATGTATCTCAAGCTGTTGTCTTTTGTGCAGCCACATCTGTTGCTGCGTAACTTGAACTGCTGTGCAGATGCCACATCACGTCATCAAATAAGAAAATCTGACCTTGGGTTAATACTGTGGCAGCGCAGAACCTGTAGAATAAAGTAGCTGTGCCCTCTTTCTGAACCCCAGTACTGCCCACTGTGAGAAGGTTGTGTAAGCTCTATTACTGACTTAGAGTAAGTTCTGTAAGTAATTTACTAAAACTCTGAAGGTTTTTTTCAAGCCCATCGGATTGGTATTGTTTGGCTATACTTAAAAATCTGTTTATTGCAAGTGTCAAAATTCTGCTTTTCTGTAGGAGTTAAAGAAACTTGCACTGCCTCCACAAATCCTCCTCCATCAGCAAGTGAACAACCAGACTACTTCATGTGAGTAAAGTAATGATTAAGAGTCTCTTGCCACTCATTGAAGCAGTTGGAAAATCATCTATAAAAGCTCTCATTTGGCTGCAAAACTGAAAATTGACCAAAATGTCATTTTAGAATTACAAGTTCCTTTAATTGGCCCAGCTGCCTTATTTGAGTACCTGCAAGTTTTAAACTCTGAGGTTGTCCCTTAATTCTTGCTAGGGAAAATAAGTGTTAAAAAGATTTTTCATTATACTTTAATAGAAGACTTTAAACATTTAATTTCATTCTTCTTCAAGAACACAATAAAAAAGGAATATGAATGTGAATGGTTTTCCTTTTAGAGGTGAGGCAATACAGGAGGAAAGTTGAATACTGAATACGTAAACTTGAACATCTTTCCCGTTTTTTCACTGCTTAGTGAGTCTAATCTGGGAAGGTGAGGAGGGAAGAGAGCAGATCTTTGTCCAGCGTTACAAAGCCCAAGGATGAACTAACAGGAGTTAACGGTCAAAGTTATTTCTAAACCTTTGATGTAAAATGGCCACTGACTAACTTGAAGCTACAGCAAAATATCCAATTTCGCCATGGAATTGCACACCAAGGAGCTAGAGAAAAAACCTCCATTCAAATTTTAACTTTTAGCTGCTTAATTTTGACTGCAAAGCAAGATAAAAATGCATTAAACTTGCATGTGAAAAGTTACGTATCTGCAATGAGTGGCATATTGCAGTCTGCAAAATTACAGAAGGACTTCTCAGTAAGTTTGGTTTTAGTTCCTTAACAAGTTGTCACCCATCAGATTAACATGCCCAAAAGCTAAAGTTTACCTGATATACAAAAAAGTTTTTCTTCCTTGACCGTTATTAAAGAACTTGCTCTAAATTGGAATAGCTCTAGTACCAGATTGGGAGTAAAAACTTTAATGAAGAATTCTCTGTGAAAGGAGCAACCTCCGGAATAGGTTCTCTCAGATAATCTACTGGCCATGGTGTCCTGGAAAAAAATTAGGTCGTGCTGTTTCAGACATCTTTCTGATTATTACAGAAAGACTGAAACCTGAGAGCACTTGCAATCTGATGAAGTTTGAAGGACTTTGGTAGTTTATTCCATCTTCTCTTCCTGTTTTTAATTCATAGAATCTACATAATTCATTAGTATAATCACAGCTTTAGCATAAAGGTGCTTTCCATCTTAACATAAAGATTACGAGAGTAAAGGAATTCAAGCTTTGTAAGCAAAGTTTCAGCAAAAGCTGGAAAAACAGAACAGAGTCACGTTTCTCCCCACTTCTACTCTCATTTCTTCCCTCTCCAGGCACTCCCACTGCGAGTGCTTTGCTGGGCTCTTGTCCTGTGCTACGGCTCTTGCTGTGGGGTGCGACTGTGTGTGGGCCAGTACTCCACACCATTGCTTCACTGGTACCTCCCAAAGTGCTGAAGGGCATCTTTAGTTTTCTTTCAAAAACTGGTGCTCCAGTCGGGTGTGTCTGGCCTGGGGCACATCATGGACAAAAGTTGTTGTCTGTGTTGGTGCAGACTTCCAACGTGTTCATTTTTTGCTGCTTGTTAAAATTAATCTAAGGGTGATTTGAAAGATTGGTCCCAATGTGGAGGTACCTGTGTCACCCACAGAGAACCAGGTCTTCAGGCTCGTAGGACCAGAAGTATTGGTGTGACAGTGATGGGAAATGGTATCTATGACTCGCATCACCACTTCATCTTGGATTTAACGAGCTTGTTAAATCCGCGCACGTTGATTGGAGGGAGAGGGGAATGAAGGAAGTTTCGATCTCATCAGTGGCTTTGAGCATTGATGGGCTTTCCTGTCCTTAGGAGGTGATGTGATGGGCTTTTTGTAGTTTCAGACTTCTCTGCAATTTGTTTTTGTTGCTATATTCCAACTGCAAGTCCATTCAGTTGAATGGACAGCAGTGGAACTGGTGTTCACTAAAATACTCAAATTCTATCACTAACTAGGCTTTGCTGCTCTATAGGCACAAGTGTAGCCAAAAAACTAAACTGCATCCAACTCTGTAAATGTAGTGCCTTCCAAAAATGTAATGAAAATTAGTTTTCAAAATTAAATGTTAATATATTTATAGATATTTATAGTCCATTCATAGAAAGAGATTACAATCTAGTAGTTTCTCTGTTCATGTGTTTATTGGTCCTTCTCTATTTGAATGATTGCTAATGTTTTCTAAGTATGCTACAATTATTATTTTTTTTTGTGCTGCTTCTGAATAAAAGCTCTAAAAAGGAAGATATTAGCAAATAACTGTCACAAAAATGAGGTCGATTTCTGTAATTACCTAAACACATTCTTTGGAGCAGGTCTGCTTACATGTAGAAGCAGTATCAGTCACATGGTTAGGTGACTTAGAGCTTGGGTGTCTACGCTTGACATTCACCCTGAAACATTCCTGGTGTAAAATTGCACGTGTGCTTATTTTTCCATTAGAAAATACGTAACTATCGTGTCGTACGAACAACGCCAGAATTACAAGGATGACTTCAATGCTGAGTACGATGAATACAAGACCTTGCATGCCCAAATGGAGACTTTCACCAGGACGTTCATGAAGCTTGAGGAACAACAGAAGCTTCTTTCTCCAGGGTCCAAAGAATATCAGGTAAAGAAGGAAAAACTGTGAAGATTGTGCTTCGTCTCCCTCTTAACCCTTCCAAAAGTCCACGTTTTCAGCACAGGCAGACTCTTCAGTGTATTTATCTAGCAAATTAGGGGTTTTAAAAGACTCGCCAGGTTCAATGTCTAAGACTACACAACCAGTCGCAGAGCTGGAGGCACCAGACTGGCGCAGGCTTTGCTGACCACCTCAGCACCCTGGCGAGGTGCGGGGGTGCTGTGGCACAGGCAGGGGAGAAGATCGGAAGCACATGGAAACCAGCAGCCATTATCCCAAGGCTTCCCTGACCCTCTTGTTTCCCGTGATTTTATACACTTAACGAAACCTGCAGCCACAACGTGTTCATCTTCCATGTGGCTGGTCCCAGCTAAGATTGTGGCAGAGAAGGATGTTAAAAACCTGATGTTTTGGCATTCCAGCCTGTACTCCTCTGACTTGGACATAGAAATTCCACATGCTCAGTACCATAATTCTTTACTTCTGTGTGCATGCTGAGGATTTTTGGTTGCTTTTATTTAGTTTTTGGCCAGATAGCAAATGTATTTGTGAGCAGGAGGAGTATTTTATAATCCCTCGTACCAGAGAAGGATGTTAAAAACCTGATGTTTTGGCATTCCAGCCTGTACTCCTCTGACTTGGACATAGAAATTCCACATGCTCAGTACCATAATTCTTTACTTCTGTGTGCATGCTGAGGATTTTTGGTTGCTTTTATTTAGTTTTTGGCCAGATAGCAAATGTATTTGTGAGCAGGAGGAGTATTTTATAATCCCTCGTACTGCTCAATCAGACGGTGGGCAACCTTGCAGAATTTGCAGACACACTCAGACCCTGCATGGGTTAGCTCTGATTTTTGTAGCTGGACAAAACCCTGCAGAAAGTTGTTGAGCCCTCGAACTCTCCCTGTTTGATGTGTCTGTGAACACACAGCAGCCTGGGCAACTTCTCAAAGGGACTCTTCGCACTCATACTCCTCTTGTTGCCTATTTACAGATCCAGTTGCAGATCTGGGGTGATCTGGGGAGTTGGTTTGTTTTTGCAACACAAGAGAGTGATAGCTCATGGATAAGAAAATATCTTGAGTGAAACTGAGTGTATTTTTAGTATTTTACATAAATTTGCATTTTCTGGTGGTAGCGAAATGTTCTTCATATTGTTGTCTTTTTTTTTTTTCTCTCAAGGCTTTTCACGAGGAAGTCTTGGAAGAGTACCGGAAGATGAAACAGGTATATGTAACACCAGATTGGTGGGAGACAGTAATCACTGAGATTGGCTCAAGGCTATTTTTAAGCAAAGCACATGAAATACTGAACTCTGCAGAAATGTTTTCATGCCCTAATTTTCTTTTTACCGTATCTTTACAGTCCAGCTCCAACTACAGTGAACTGAAGCACAGAATCAAGTGCCTCTACAACAAGCTCTCTCATATTAAGAGACTAATCCAGGAATTCGACCAGCGACAAGCAGAGCTGAGGCACTAGTCTTCTGCTTCGGCCAAGACATCAATGAACCGAAGCTTATTTATTTAAAACTTTAGATTAGTTTTAAGATTTTAAAAATTAGTATAGAACTTTTACATTATGGATGTTTCATTATAGTACACAAGTTAACTGGTTTTCGTTGGTGGTGGTGTTGTTTATATGCATTTTTTAAGCTGCTCTTTAGGGTCCTTTTTTTTTTTTTCTTCAAGACTTTATGTTTGTGTTTGTTCATTAAAATATTTTTGTCAGTAGATACTGGGGTTCCAGCACCTTTACTATGAGGTTAAGCACATTTTAAGAAAATATTGTAGCAAACTGAAAGGCTTTAGGATAAATGTAAGACTGTTTTCTGACCTTTCTTTTCAATGCAGACTCTTTGCCTTAAATGGTAGAAGGTTGAGAAATTTGCACAAAATTTTTAAAAAAGCACACATTGTTTCGGAGGGTTAAAGAGGCGTCTATACGTGCTGTTTACAGCCCATTGTGTTACACCAGAAACTCACCCCTGCTGCTTAAACCCCTCATTGCAGTGATTGCCTTAAGGTGTTTGCTTGTGTATATTTAGTGTGAGACTCTTTGCCTTAAATGGTAGAAGGTTGAGAAATTTGCACAAAATTTTTAAAAAAGCACACATTGTTTCGGAGGGTTAAAGAGGCGTCTATACGTGCTGTTTACAGCCCATTGTGTTACACCAGAAACTCACCCCTGCTGCTTAAACCCCTCATTGCAGTGATTGCCTTAAGGTGTTTGCTTGTGTATATTTAGTGTGGTTAAATTATTATCTGCACGGCTTCCCACTTTGCCGAGGCAGCTGGGAAAGCACTGCGTGGCCTACTGGTGTCTGGATGTCTGTGTGTGTACTGGGTGTGCGTGCAAGAACGTGTGGGTGTGGGCAGGTGTGATGGGGAAAAAGAAAAAAGCTGCTGCTCTGAGTAGGTCAAAAGCTCAGGTTAAAACGACTGACCAGTGTAGTTGTAGGTTTTTCCCATAAAATTTCTACTTCTGTTGTGGAAGATGAGAGCGTTTCCATTTCAATAGTTTGTCAGCTTTAATAATATTGAAGAAATGGACACTTTACAAAATGAGACAGATATATAGTTATTGGGCAAGATTATAAAGTTAAACATGTAGGTTACCTATTTATGTACTTCCATAAAGTATTTTTCGAAGACAGACGTGCAAAGAAGTTACTGCCTACATGAAATATGTATTTAAAGATTATTTTTTTCCTGGGTGCCAGGAGTATAACAAACAATAGACATATTTAATTATAAAATTAGTTGCCATACCCAGTCCATTGCCTCTGTTTTGAGTCTGGGTGGAAGGACTTCTGGGATCATGGAGACAGGGCTCTGGCAGTGCAGCGGGCAGCATCCGCACCGTTAGCTGCATTGGAAGCCATTCTGTGTTGACGTTCCTGTTTATTATGTACAGAAAGAGAAAGAAAAATAGAACATATCAAGTCTGGTTCAGTAATAGAAAACAACTTGCTCCCGGGGAGGAATTATTATTGCTTTTTACTTTTAGTCTAATTCATATTTAAACAGTTACTCCCAGGGAGCAAGCCATTTTCTAAAACTTAGAGTTTTAGGTTTGTTTTTTTTTTTTTTTTAAATTAGGTACGGCTAAAAATATTTCTT